CCGCTACCCCCCTCCCTCCGCCAGCAAGGCTGGGAAGCCTTTGCGAAAACAGACTCCTTTTTTTCCCCCCCGATAGAAGGGAAAAATAAAATTAGTGACTCCCACGCACACACTTTATTGCAGAAGAGAGTGTTTTAAGAGACGGGGGGAGAGCACAGGAAATGGCTTGTTTCAGAACGGGTTGCAACAGGCCCTGTGACCACCCAAAGACCACTGCATCCATCCTCCTTACGGTCCTGCCTGCAGCAACAGTGCAAAGCTGCCTGCGCTCCACAGGCAAAGGCTGCAACTGAAGATCAGGGTGACAAGAAGTGAAGATGGTGTAGGAAGTCCCAAAAGGGAGGTTTGCGTTCCTGAGTGGAGAAATTCCTGAATAGGAGAAGACTGAAGCATTAGAGCGGATTGCTTTGAGTGATGGTGGAATCCCCATCACCCGTGGCTTTTAAGAAAACATCAGGAAAACATATATTTAAAGACAATTGATTTGTCTTGGGACAAATGGATAAACTAGATTATCATGCAAAGTCTTTTCTTGGACTCAGGTTATATGAACAGTAGGAGGTTATGGTTATTACCAACAATATTTTTAATGCAGTGCCGTCACGGACTGAAAATGATCTTACAGTAGGTGTTAACAGCCACGGTAGAACAAAGAACGTGAAGATAGTTCCTCCTTTATGACTATATATATTTGCCTGCAATTGCACTGGCAAAGTGTGTAATGTGACAAACTCAGGGGTATCGCCTAAGAGAAGACGTGAGAGAAAATGAAGAGAGCAGGTAGGAGTCCATATTAAAACTACTTTCTGAAATCAGCAAATATTCCACCAGTTTTATTAAGAAACGTGGGAGTTGGCTTCACCTGTCAAAAATGTGTTAAATCATGAATTCTACCTGTATCAGGAAGGCAGGGTAACGGGTAGATACCATCACCAACCCTGCCTTGTATTCTGCACATGCCTAGTGTATGGCTTCTACAGACTTGTAATTTCTGATAGCTCATCTGCCTTTGAATCTTCCTGTCAGTATTTGTGACCATATATGCATGTTTTCCTACACTCTGAAATGCTTTTCTTTTCCTGTATTGTTGAGCAAAAGACTCAAACAGCAAAGGAAACTGGCTTATTGATTGGCTACCCAGGGGAAAAGCTGAATGAACTATGCATGGAGTGCTGTCAAGTGTGAAACACAAGCAGAGAAACAGAAAAGAAATACCTATTACTTTTCTGTCCCTTTCATTAATCCTAGCATTTGAAAATTGCACCTGGTGTTAGAAAACAGCACCTCCTTGCTAATACACTAAACTTGCCATGTACAATGTACAAGAAAAACAGAGATTCCAAAATTTTCCTATGGCATCAAAAGAAAAGGCTGTGCTACACAGACAAGAATGATAGTAAAATGTTATTTGCATCCATTTACTGTTGACTATCTAACAGGAATATTTCTGTATATAAAATGCAACTTAAAACAACCCCACTGTATTTTACTGAAATAAATTGATTAGGACAGAAGACTTGCTCCTTGTGAGTTCTTGAGCAAATATAGCAGCTAATTCTGAAAGGAAAACCACCACCACAGTTAGGTTTTGAATACATAGGACTAAAACGCTAATAAAAATAAGTCAGTGTGATAAAAGCAAAATGGCCAGTCTCGAGACTTTTTTTAACCTTCCCTTCAAATTCCACAGAGAAAAGGACCACTACAGCAGCCACCTTCCTCCTCACCTACTGCATTAGAGAGAGGGACGTTTACAGGGTAGGTTTCTAGGCATTTCATAGATAACAGGCAGATAGACTAAAGGATAAAACCAAGAGTTTTATCCACAGAAGTAAAAAGTGTGCAGTTTCACAGCCAGGTTAAACTGAGGTAACAGTGTGTTGTTACTGCAGAGAATGGTTCTTGTACTTGTCTGCATGTCCTGCCACTTCCTTAGCATCAGCATTATTGGTTGGGTGGTTTCAGGGTAAAATGGGCTGGTGAGTAGATCTGACTGCAGGATAAGCCTGGAATCCAAAGGGAAGTATGCCAAAGCGTGGTGTGTTTTCAGTCATACCCGTGACTGCCTCACTTGTCTCAGTTAAGCTGAGTCAAGCTGACTGCAGCACCTGTATGGGAGCAATTGCGCCAGCTCAGAAAGGGTGTTGTGGGAACATGAAGCATCATTTAAGTAAGGCTGCATAGTTTTAGCTTGCTTTGTTTTCCATCCATGAGAAGTATTTGTACCGTAAGAGAAAATCCCTTCCCCCAAAACATCCCCACTGCAAGTGAGCAAGAAGCGGGTCTCATTCCTACCACCAAGGAACACCTCCTGAGGTGGATTGCTTGCATGCAGACAACTCAGATGGAAATAATTCCTCTCAAGTTTGAGAATTTTATACCTCTGTTTTCCCTCCTCCTGGATCTGGTGGGTGAGACCTTCCTGAAATTTGCCCTCAAGGCTACTTTTTTTGTATCAGGCACAAAATTTAATCTTTATATGCATTCAATTAAGCTCATGACATCTGCTGCTCTGTCAGTTTTCTGCAGAGACTACATGACACATCTGGACATATTCATTCACAGCTATCGCAGACCAAATAACACGGGGTTTTTTTGCTAGCAAATGATCTTGGAATATAACCGTGTATACACCTTGTTCCTCTACCAACAGAAAAAAAAAAACAAATACATTATTTCTAAGTGGGTTGAAAACCAACAAAACCTTACTTGGTGAAGGAATTGAAAAATGCAGACACCGTGATCCTTCTAAATCATTCGTCCCATACAGGTTTTTAAAGTACATGGCAAATAAGTGTCTGTCATTAAATACTGTAGGATTTTATCTGGATTGTTGGTATTTATTTTAACTTGCACCTTAAATATTTGTCTGTGAGCCATTAGCTTGTTTCTCCAATATTTCCTTTTCAAGATATAAGTACAGTAATATCTGGCTACGGAACCATGACTGAAAATAGCAACCAGCAAAGATTTATAGCATTTCCCTTGAAACCAGTTAAATGCTTCATAGAACCAGAGTCTTACACCATGCTGTATGTTCCTTTTGTACCGGTTTCACCTTTACCACGGATTCACTCCTGCAAGTACTTTCCTTGACTTAAATGGGGCAATGGGAAATGAACAGAATAGAGATGTAAAGTGCACAGAAACCTTTAGGGTTAATCCTTAGCAAGGGATCAGTGACCCACAGGGATCCTCTGAGCTGCTGTGGTAAATAGCCTACCTCAGACACTGAAGCACTTCAGTAGTTTATTGTGTGCAGTGTATAAACATTTCAGACTACAGCCATGCACAGGGACATAACAGAACAGAAGCCAGTCCTGGGTGAGATATTTGGACACCTCTTTATTTCAAATAAGTAGCAGCAGGAAAAGGACACTTAAATATACAGAAGGAATTCATTACGTTTTCAAGTGACAGAGACAGAAAAAAAAAATCTACAGTTTGTCTAAAGGAAAAAGAATTAATTTTTCTTTAGTTATACATGAAGTACTTGTCTGAATTTGACCATAGAGATTGTGTATCATAATGTTTAGCCACAAGTAATTGGAAATATTAGACAAATATAAAGGCTACTACACTGAAAGGGAAAAATCTTTGCTGTCAAATGAAAATAAGTTTTTAAATCAGCCTAAATTCTACTATTTCATAGACATAATATACATGAGACCATGTTTTCTTATGGCCTTATAAAGCAAACAAACAAACCATGACAGGTAAAGCCTGCCATTGTGCTAAAGATCCTCTACCTCTTCTAAAATTAAAGGTGAAGAATTACTAACTAAATCTTCACATAATGTAAGCAGAAGCAATGCTATTAGCTGACTAAGTACTCTACTAACAGGACTATTAATACCTGAATCTTTTTGGTCATGATAGGGATATAAAAGTACAGATTTTTCTCCTTGACATAGATTATATATTTTTTTTGGTCTCACTGCTGTTTAAACTTCAGAATCCAATTGGCAGGAATGAGTGGCTTTCTGGACAAGAAGCAACATAAAACATGCATCTCCTAAATCTTTGTTTAGGGTCTTCTGCTGACCTGCTGCACTGGCCTTGAACAGATCATCTTCTCAAGCCACTGCCTCCTTTCTTGTTCTTCACTGTTCTTGTTTATTTAAGATACTGTAACTTTAATATGGTTGCACTGTATGTAGAACTGTTGACATAACTAGTATTATAATTCATTTGTAATTCATACATCACTAAGTATAATAAAAGACTTAGGCCTTATTTCTGCCAGGTCCACGACATGATCTTAACTATATTCAGTTGAACTCCTGGGGAATATTCCATGCATTAACAGTCCTACTCAGTTCTGTAAACCTTTGCTGGTTTGAAGCCTAAATTTGTAACAAGGTAAATCGTGTTTTTCTTCATGGCAACAAAAGCTTAACTGAAACAACTTTTTATTAACTGTTTAGATTTTTTTATGTATACATTAATATACATATACTAGTACATTGAATTTGAGATTAATTCTGAATTATATTAAGTATGTAATTTGAAATTTGCTTCTCTTTCAAAGATCATATTGCTTCTGTGTTTGATCACTCCTGAAGTGATTTCTGACAGTGTAATGTAGCATTTGGATAGGCATATTCTTTTAGGTTTCACAGTACTAGAGCACGGCCTATACTGGTATGTATTGTCCCCAATACTGGGGACAGCATGCAAATACTGGGAAGAAAAGTTACCGACCAAAGAACTCAAACATGAACTTAACTCAGAGACAGCTGAGATATTCAAAGCCATAAAAGTGAAAAAGGGCTGCAACAAATACAAAATATCTCATGATTTTCAGGTATTGATTGATAAAATGGCAGATTTA